CGAGATCACCGCGGGCAACTTCTGTGAGCTTGGGCGCCCAGCCCTCATAACCTCGGTTTTGCCCGCGTTGATGCACAACCCGCACTCGGCGCACACGTCATCCATGACCATGAGAAACTGCACCAGCTCCTCAGGGCTGGAGCAGGTGAGGGCCATATCATCAGCATACATGAGAAGCGGAATATTGGTGTGGTAGGTGATGCGGTCACCTGAAGGAGAGGACAAGGTGCCATCACAGCCAAAGGCTACAGCCACGCCACAGTCACTGGGCATGCGCGCCAGTGCTTGCCTCACCACAAAGTCTATAAACACGTTGAACAACAACGGAGCAATGACACAGCCTTGCCTAACACCACACGATACATCAAACGCCTCGCCCTTGAGAGGGCCCAGACGCACCGCCGCCTGAGTGCCCGTGTGCAGGTCCATCAGCAACTCCACCAGGAGGGAGGGTACGCCGTAGGCCCGCAGCACTCGCCACAGCGCGTCACGCGGCACAGAGTTAAACGCCTTCCGCAGGTCAATGAACGCCATGAACAAGGGTTGCCCCTTGTGCTTCCAGCTCCGCGCCATAAGTTGGCGCAGCGTGAAAGTGGCATCAGTGAGACCGCGGCCGGGCCGAAACCCGCATTGCGCTTCCAACAGCCGTGCATCAAGGTGCTGCGAGACCCGCCGCAACCGGCCTGTGTTATTGCAAACAAGCGGCTGTGTTGTCGCGCATCTTGGACAACAACAGTCCACCAAAAACTTGGTAACATGTTGGGCGGTGACATGTTTTGCGGTGCAAAGCTATCAATGCTGTGAACATGGTGGTCTGTCAAGTGCAGTCAGCGAGCGCTGTAAAGGCTCAAATCCCTCGCGAACATTGATGAAGCAAGGTGGCCTAAAACTTTGCGACTCAACGGTTTTTGAGTGCCTAAGCTTAAACCCCAACACAGCAACGTGGTCAAGTGTCCAGCCAACTGGTGCGCGTAAGTGCAAATGCTTTGAACATTTTACGGTGCTAGCACACAGCTCATGACGATTTTGATTCACCACATGTTGTAAGGTCACATCAGCCCCACAAGGAGGAACACGCAAGTGATGCTAGTGGGTTTCACGCAGTGACCTTGTGATTGTTATCAACCAGGGTGTACAGTACACAATCACCGCGCGTGTGTTGTCGTGCATTCGTGCGTTGCAGGAGCGTATTGCATTCACGGCTAGCTGTTTTACTGCGCCCTGCGGGACGCTCGCGTTTTGCTGCCTCTGTACGGCGGCTCTGTCCCTTGTTGGTGTGGCCCAACCCTGGGAAATGCTCGCTTTCCAGGGGGGTCCGTTGATAAGTATGAGTTGCCAACCAGCAGCCCAGGCAGGCGTGCCAGCTGGCATGGTGTGAGAGGGGTTATGTATGGATGGAGGGGGTCTGGGCCGAGGCCTTTGAGCTTGGTGTTTCAGCGAACACCGCCCGCATTATACAGGGTGTTGAGGTGCATATGGGCGCTGCGCCCCGGCTGCAGCCGCTACAGCGGAACAGTCGAGGGCCCCTCGACTGTTGAACGCGCGGGGCGTTCACCCGCATCGCCGTCAATAACTGAAAGTCTTACTGTCTTTGCAGAGCTGCTGCTCCGGCACCCTGTGCCGCTTCACGGGCAGAGCGTCAGGCCCCGGCGCGCAGGGCCTACAATGCATTGAAACAAAGCCCCCAGCATCGTCAGCGCGCTGGTTTTTGGTGGGGTTGTCTGGACTGCCCTGGTGCGGCCCTCCTGGAGGCCGGTCTTGCACCAGGCCGCAAGCAAGCAACCCATGGCCCCAACAGCAGGCCGCCAGCCTCTGCCTCCAGCACGTCGGCTGTCGAGGCCAGCCTTATAGGCTCGCACAACCGCTAAGTAAAATTGGCATCCACTGGACTGCCGCCTCATGCGCCGGTGAGCCGCCGTCCCGCCGGCTCACCATCGCTCCAAAAGGCCTGAGGGTTTGCAATGCAAAGCGCTTGCGCGGATATGAAAACGGACGTTTTCAACAAACATAACATTCAATGTATGCCGCTGTCTCAGCCTTGATCAAAAGCCGCTCGAAGTCCAGATCATAGACTCGTGGCGTTGTCACGGCATGGCCGAACTCGCCGCGTGAGGCCTGATGAGAGAGCTTCTCTTTAGTTGCACTGGACGAGCACGCGTCGGATGCTTGATCTTGGAACGCGGGGCTCGGCCAGCAAACGTCATGAAGCGCGGAGTTTGCAGTCCGCTTGCGGTCATGAGTGAGTAAGAAAACTTATTTGTTGGATATGCTTGGCCGGTGGCTGTGGCTTTCCTGCGGCCGCACTAGATGGGTACCGCCGCCATGTGCTGGCGGCGCTGCGGCGACCCCAAGAGGCTTCTCTTCCCCTGTCCAGGTGGTGTTTGGCGTGCCACCGTGTTCCAAAACGTCATGCGTGGGGCTGCATCACGCGCTGCAGCATCAGTGGCCGCCGGTGACGCCC